TCCCATGCCTCAGCCGTCCGCCTCCAGACCTTGTGCCAGGGCGCTGGTATCCATTTCGGAGACGTTGATAGATATGTCCCACCGTTGTGTCCGCCATGGGAGAACCCCAACTTACATGTGGAAACATCGTGGCCTCCAGGGAGGAAGAGGGACCTACATCCCGAGCTCCTGAAACAGCGCCTATACTCACGTATACACAGACGGGTCCAGGACTGTTGACAACGTTGGGGGCCGGTATCTGGAGCAGAGACGGGGAGTGGAGTTTCCGCTTGCCGCGGCATACAACCATATTCACTGCAGAGTTGTTTGCAATAAATAGAGCCATTGACATTGCAATAACAAGCGATGTATATGATAAGTGCTATCATTTCAGACTCTATGTCAACTCTTCAAGCAATTCAAGGTTGTAACACTACCAGCAATGAGATACAGGGCAACATTATTAATAAACTACATGAGTGTGCCAAGAACATTGTGTTGATATGGGTGCCTGGGCACTGCAACATTCGGGGCAATGAACAGGCAGACAAACTAGCAAAAGAGACTGTGGGTCTCAGGGAGACAACCAATGTACCCTGGGAGCGGCAGTCGTGTCTCTCCTTGGGGAAGACATATACAACAAGCAAGTGGCAGCTGGAATAGACCAGGTTAAATCATCACAACAACTGCAAGATTGACATCGGAAACTGGCCCTCAGCATAAATAAAGAACAGGAAAGAAGAGGTGGTTCTCGCTAGATTAAGGTTAAACTGCACCTATCTGACCCACCTAAAACCACATATAGATAGCGCCTCTCCTCCTATCTGCGCCACTTGCAACAAAATTATGTCCACTAACCACATTCTCACAGAGTGCAGCCAGTACGGACCAGAGCGCCGGCAGCTGGCGATACTAGCAAGGCTTCGTGCTGACTGTACCCAACCTATTGCAAGATAACGTCATCATAAGTGACGCTGTAATACTCTTCCTCAGGAGATCCGTCTGTAAATGGTACACGCAACATGTGCTTTCTATAATATGTATGTAAACTTGCCCTAAATAAATTAAAAATAAATAAATAAAAGTAAATAAAGAAATGGAAAACATACAACACAAGAAACATATCACAGACATTTTCATTACATACAACACGCAAATATGCATAGTAAAACTGACAACTATCAACACCATACAAACACAATGACGCGGGCTACACCATCACAAAATAAAACTTGTCAGATGACTGGCCATTTTATCTGGACTGTCATTAATTTACCATTATATCACCCATTCATATCATAATTCATCCCAAAACCAAAACAACAACATCAAGAAGAAAGAAGAAAGAAGACCATAAGAATACCAATAAAAAATAAAAAACCAGTCCATCAGAGTAGTTATACCACTAAAGTAATGAGTGCAAGAATTAAGACCAAGAATGAAAGAGGAAACCCCAAGAACGATCCAAAAGAAGAAAGAAGACAACAGCTCCGTCCCAAATAGCCGAAAGGTGAAGTAGCCTATAATCTCCAAACAAGTTCCAGCTGACACAGTCAGTCAATTGTTTCTGCTCAGAGTCTCAAGAATCCTAGTAGGTAAACTGAAGATAATTATTGTGCAAGTATTGAGAAATTGTTGTGATTAATATAAAGTGAAAAGACTAAGGAAGTGTACACTGGTAGTGTGCCGACTACAGGATATATTCGAAGTGAGAAGTCCAGCTGTGAAGCGGTGTTAGCCACTGTTTAATAGACAGTAGGACTTATATAAACATGGGTTAATACATTTGTATTATATAATTCTATCACCTCCCATAATTTTCCATGAGCTGTGAGGCATCATGTTCAGACCACGTGATGGGTATTGTCCACTCTCAAGTCACGTCTCCAAAAGATCCTAGATCAGCTTATTGGGAGACCGCTCCTCGCCCCAGTAGTTAGCACTTGACACTTACCATAGCAAGACGTTGATCTAAAAGCTTATCCCGGTTAAGCTCCGTCCTGAACTAACACTCACAGCTTACAGTATTAATTACGGCGATATCTTTATTGACTGTGCATAACATATTTTTTTTAAATAAACGAAGTAAGGACCATTTGGGTTTTGCAAACTTAACTCATAAACTTTTACACGTAGCAGTTGAGTTACCTCTCAAGAGACAAGTTCAGGTAACCACAAACAGCTGCATAAGGTAACAATGGTGTCAGATACAAAGCTACAAGGCTACACTGTTATATAATGTGACAGCTTCACAAGTGGCTGTTACAAGTTGTAACAACCCAAGGTTGTTACAAATAGACAGCTACCAAGGCTGTTATATGACAGCTTCAAAAGCTGTTATAAAGCCATTTACCCTGTTATCAGTGTTACGAAGAATTAGTGACTATTAAAGCACACTACAGTGCACAAGTGTGTTTCTTTGACCTGGTGAAATCTACCAGCCTATTGTTTGTCTGCACACTGATACCGATCGTTGGGAAATTGCAGGAGACTGGCGGAACAGTCAGTGGTAATTCGACGATACTTATAATATATCTACTGCTTCTGTACATACGACCTTGACCGCTGGTAACCAGTGGTGGAAACTGGGTAAGCGGTGAAAAGAGGGTCGTAGCAATAGAATATGTGCTCCTGTTGGATAAGGAGATCCTTTGAAGGATAAAAACTGCACAGGAAAGTGAGTTTTCAAATTATAATGTCATCAGGTTCATAAACAAAGCAAAAAGTATTCAAATTTAAGAACCGAGTAAGCCAAGTAGTACTGTACTCAATCAAATTTAAGAACCGAATAAGCCAAGTAGTACTGTACTACTCGAACCCAAATGCCCATCCCATCAAAGGATACTTTATCTTAGTTATGGCGGGTGTGCATCCGTAGTTCGCCGGGCAGGTGATGTTTTACTCATTATAGCTTCGGATGACAAGGTTTGGTGATATTCTCCTACTTTGGTTCATGCACAGAATAGATAAACTACTGTACTATAGATACAGTATTTGTTGTTTGAAGACCATGGACCACTAATATTCATAAGTTGTAGTCGTGCCGGCACCTCTATTGGCTTTGGTGTCGTGAGGAGTTCTGTATCTTGTGTCCAAGGTTGCAAAAAACAGTGTGTTACCAAACCGCGGTGGATAGCCCTCAAAAGGCGCGGCAAAAACCTTAAATGTAGCCGAAATAGTATGACTCTTATAGCCTCCCGTTTCGCACTCCTATAACAATTGATGCAAAATATTATCGTCGCTATAAGGAATTGAAATTTAATTCTGTGTATTAGTGATATGGTTTATTAAGAAAAAAAAAAGACGTAATACCAAGAATGAGCACTGAATTCTCCCCCTATATGATATAGTGAACATTATTTTTTCTTACATAATTATTGATGGAAATGAATTTGCTTTTTTACCAGTTTGCCGGATGTAAACACTACATGAAATATATCAAAGTGCTTCTTTTTTACCAGTTTGCTGAAAACGCCATAAAGTATTCTTATTTTAATGTTCTATCTGCCTATACACAAATCAGTATAGAATTCAGTGGCTGACTTTTTCCAAATATTTACCAAAACCCCAAAGAAAAATTATAATTAAACTTCCAAGCCAAGTACCGCATCAGAGGCTTCTGAGAAAAATTAAGGCTCATGGTATCGAGGGGAAAGTTTTAAATTGGATAAAATCATGGCTCACCGATAGAACGCAGAGGGTCAGCGTAGATGGTGTTAAATCTGAGTGGGGCCGTGTAACCAGTGGGGTTCCCCAGGGATCAGTACTAGGCCCACTCTTGCTCATAATCTACATAAACGATCTAGATACTGGGATCAGCAGGGTGACATAAGCAAGTTTGCGGATGACACCAAAATAGGGCGGCAGATTAATTCATGGCAGGATGCAAATGCATTACAGGAGGATCTAAATAAACTGCAGGGGTGGTCTGAAAAATGGCAAATGAAATTCAACACCAGCAAGTGCAGCGTACTTAATATTGGAAGAACAAATACTGACAATGTATACAGCCTTAACAACATCAACCTAGAGAAGTTGACTTGTAAAAGAGACCTAGGGGGTACTTGTAAGCCCGGACCTACGGCCTAGAAAACAGTGAGTTTATGTTCGAACTAAGGCAAACAGAGTATTGGGTTTTATATCTAGAAGTGTAAGTAACAAGAGTGCAGAGGTCTTATTGCAAATATATCTTGCGCTAGTCAGGCCGCACCTCGATTATGCGGTTCAGTTCTGGTGCCTTTAATATAAAATGGATATCAATTCACTAGAGTCGGTGCAGCGAAGAATGACGAAAATGATTCCGGGACTTAGAAACCTTCCATATCAGGATAGGTTAAGGAAACTTAACTTGCATTCCCTAGAAAGACGAAGAGTGCGGGGAGATACGATAGAAGTATTTAAGTGGGTGAAAGGAATCAATAAAGGGGATATAGATAAAGTTTTTATAATATCCGAGCAGGATAGGACTCGTAGCAACGGATTTAAATTGGATAAGTTTAGGTTTAGGAGGGAGATAGGAAGGAACTGGTTCACAAATAGGGTGGTGGACGAGTGGAACAAGCTTAGCAACTTTGTAGTAAGTGCTGGAACGCTGGAAAGTTTCAAAAGGAGGCTAGATAGATTCATGGATGATAGAGAGTGGTAGTAACTCTCGACAGGAGCTGCCATGCACAGGCCAACCGGCCTATCGCAGACTCCTTATTTTCTTATGTTCTTGTGTAAAAAAATCCCACTAACAGAACCATCAAACAATTCTTTTTGATGGAAGCGATAAGAATCATCCAACCAAACCTCACCCAATCTACCGAAGCTGTTTAAGTAAGTTTCACCAGGGAAATAATTTTGCAGGCATATAGTTAACGCTTTTATAATCTTTTTGTACAACAGAAAAAAATATTAAAGATAAAAACGAAATCAATACACTTTTACATTGCAAACGAATCACAAGATTAGGCCCTTTTTAAAGCTGTTTTTGTGATGGTTATATATGTAAAGATTTAGTTGTGGGAACTGTGACGAACCTGAGAGATGCAGTTGTTCCGCTCGTCCTCTGACCAAAGTCTGGACCGGGAGAACCGTGGTCCTCGACGCCTGGGGTGTAGAGGCTCCACTCGCTTGATGAGGAATGTCTCCACGCCATGATCCTGGAAGACACCAAACTTTTTACCAAACTCCTTCATGCAAAATGACCAATGCTCGAGTGAGGATAATATTAAATAACCGAAAAACCATTTTATCCTAAAGCACATAACGAGCCTAATGTTGTGAAAACACACGCGGTCGGGCGGGTGTAATTTTGTCAGCCGTTCACACGAGCGTGTTTTCCCGCCGCATGAAAATCTCCTTAACTGTTGTCCTCTCCGGAGATGAACCACAACTGCGGCGTGTGAAAACACGCTCGTGTGAAGGGAGCCATAGCCACGTGAACATTTCTAGTAGGCTTGGCGAGTTTTTCACGCCGCGGGATGGCAGTACAGGGGTGACTGTGTGAAGGGTCCCATTGAACTCGAGGTATTTCTAAACCGCTCGTGTAGAGGGAGCTTTAGATATGGTTTGGTTGGTTTTTGCCATTTGAACAATTAAGGGCTTCACCCTCTCGACTCTCATCCGTTGTAATTATTTTAATGGCGACCATTTTTGCTTATATTAGAAATATTATCTCCATATAAAGTTTAGATTTCTTCACGGCAGTTTAGTGTACGTATGAACCCTTTAAATTAATAGTAATTCAGTTATTTTCTTGAATACTAAACATACAAAACAAATCGTCAAATGGAATCATTCTGAATATTCAACAAATTTACGAAAAATATAACCCACCCACTTTGATGTACACACCAACCTTGATGTACACACCCACTTTCATGTACACATCTACTTTGATATACACATCCACGTTCACGTACACATCCACCTTGATATACACACCCACTTTCATGTACACACCCACCTTGAGGTACTGGTCCCGTTGCTTGCCATGTCCAGGCTCCACTTCGTACACCCCTTTGAGACATCCCAGTGTGGCTTTCGACACGTGGACACGGCTGTGTAGAATAGGTATGAATTATCCCATGTGTAAAGTAAACGAGAGAGAGAGAGAGAGAGAGAGAGAGAGAGAGAGAGTTACAGACGCCCGGGGAAAAATAGAACATTAAGGTTATCTGTTTCCACACTGCTGACTGGCTGAGGCAAGGTGGAGAGGCTGGACTGTAAAGAGGCCCTGGAGGAGTAGGAAGAGGAGTAAAAGGAGAAGTACAAATAATAGGTACAGGCTAAAGAAAAACATAGAGGGGATACTACTACTACTGCTGCTGCTACTTCTTCTTCTACTTCTTCTACTACAACTACTACTACTACTACTTTTCTTTTTTTTTTTTTTTTTTTTTTAAACGTGGCCTCCAGCCTCCCCAATAGCCACACCTTCGCCACCATTTATTTACCTTAATATTAAATATCCTAATACAACTACTACTACTACTACTACTTTTCTTTATAAAATGGCCTCCAGCCCCAATAGCCATACGTTCGCCATAAAAACTTGCCCTCAGAACTTCTGAGATTAACTATGTGATGTTAGCTACAGTAAACTTCGGTATTTCTAAGTTATGCTGGCTGGTATGCACTGAGAATGAAGAACCTGCGGTGTAAGCGGGCAGTGGGCGCGAGAGAAAATAGATCTCGGTGGTTCAGTCGGTCATTCAGAAAAGACGTTTAAAAGGAATAGGTGAGAGGGACTTACCCTGGTATGCCGCCGGACTCCATGTGGTTGGCCAGGGTGACGTCGTAGGACCACACGTCAAACTGCCACTTGCGGAGGCCTAGCACCCCACACAGCACCGCCCCGGAGTGGATACCGATCCTCATGTTGAGATCGACCTGTAGAAGGGAGAATGACACCTTAAACACGACATTTGTTACATCATACAGGACTGTGATATATATGAGCAAACGACAAACTTCGGCGGTGGTTCTTCAGATGAAAACATTTCTACAGCTATCACTCATATACCTGTTCAACTTTTAGTGGTGATCATTTCCCTGCACTAACCTACTGCACCTGTAATATCAAACTGGCCTTGCATATTTTAACAAAGCATTTCCTAAGACAAACTAATGAAACAAGTTGCGTTCACGAACATTTATGAATCCAACACAGACCAGCGAGGTCTAATCGAACTTTTGTATGTATGAACTCAGATTGGCTGTGTCATAAAGAAGGCGGAAAATTTAGAAAGTGAACTTAATAATTTGGGAACTTTCTTAATTTGGATACAGGTTTAATGGGTCCCAGTGCTAATAGAGTCCCATCTAATCTAACAATTACGAATGAAGTTGTTACGACTGAACCTAATCCTATTGGTTAGATTAGAATGGCGTGGGCTCTATTACGTATGGGGTCTATTAAGACTGGGAGGCAGTTTACCAATACGATCTTAATCACATCTTATATAACCCGATTATTTAATGTACGCAGTGAGAGCATCTGATCACGACACACACACACACACACACACACACACACACACACACACACACACACACACACACACACACACACACACACACACACACACACACACACGCACGCACGCACACACTACTACTACTACTACTACTACTACTACTACTACTACTACTACTTTGTTGTCACCCGGAATCGAGTATGACGATCATCCAGCTATGAGACAATGATATGAGTTATTAAGGTTGTCACCTACGTTGGTGAGTTCTAAGGTGACTAAAGAGGCCGATACGGGACCAGCAGTGCCGTTCACAGATGTTGCACATGTGGGGGGCTATATCTAGTGAGGGAGGGATGGTGGCAGCGTCTTTCCGACGTTGGCGCTTGTCTGTCTCAGTTTGCAGTCGGGTTAATCCGAAAGTACTTTCACCTATTGGCCCAAACTGGGCAGTCCCGTTTACACCCAACCCCTATTGCTCATATAAGCATCCAACCTATGTTTGAAGCTATTCAGCGTGTTCGAGTTAATGATGATATTTGGTAACTTGTTCCATTCATCCACTACTCTGTTTCCAAACCAGTGTTTACCTATTTCACGCCTAAATCTAAATTAGTCTAATTTAAAACCATTGTTACGAGTTCGCTCCTGGTTGGATAGTTTGAGTACCTTTGTTATATCACCTTTGTTTAGCCCTGACTTCCACTTATACACCTCTATCAGGTCGCCCCTCGCTCTACGTATCTCGAGGGAGTGCAAATTAAGATGCTTTAACCTGTCTCTATACTCAAGGTTCCTAATGCCCGGGATTAGTCTTGTCATTCTCCTCTGAATTCTTTCCAATGATTCTATATCCATCCTGTAATACGGTGACCAGAACTGAACTGCGTAATCCAGGTGTGGTCTCACAAGCGCAAGATACAGGTAGCGGCTTGGCTCCGACATCAGGTCATATGAATGTCTACAGACCAGCTCCCACAGTACCAGATCTAAAGTTAATCTACATGTTGATTCTATGTTTCTTAGGTTTCTGTATTGAGAGCTTTTGTCAATCAAGTGAGCCACTCCCTGATTCCACCATATGTAACTTATCATCTCTGTTCATTGTATATTTTCAGCGTTCGGGCTGCCATGTTATCTTAATAAACCGGTAATTATTATTATTATTATTATTATTATTATTATTATTATTATTATTATTATTATTATTAGTGTTATTATTATTACTATACACACACACAGGCACACAATCACTTACGGCACAAACTGTGGGATGATACGGGACATGGATGAAAATGGAGAAAGGAAGATAGAGAAGAGAATGAAGAGGAGGGAAGAGGAGGAGGAATGAAGATAGAGCAAATAGGAGGACGAGGAGGAGAGCCAAGGAACACCACCAATATCATTCGACACAAACACAATAAGACCAGGTTTCATTTGGTCGTCACACCGCCAGGCCTGTGGTACGTGCCTCGCCCCCCCCCTTCCAACCAAGAGAGAGAGAGGGAGAGGGAGAGAGAGAGGGAGAGAGTCCCAAACTGACATAATGCATGATAGGATGTTGTAAAATATATATGAGTTAGTAAATGCAAATACGGGTTACGAATCATATAAAATGTAGAACATATAAATATAATATTGTGCATAAGGATGTAAAACTGATCCCCAATCGAGTCACAATCGTATTATCTTCTAGAAATAGTACACGTAATATGGTGGTAGTAAGAACACATCAGAATGTTACCACGGTTATCACTTCGACATTTATTTATTTTATTTATCTTTTATATATTTTTTATATTACAGGTATAGTATATGTATATACATACTTGACAGTGGAGTTGATATACATAAATATGATAAGGGAGAGAAGCAGTACAACATGGGTTGTATTAAGGTGGAACAAGAAGACAGAGCTGTCAGTATCATGTCAAATTTGCAAATATATTTATTGCAATGGTAATTTATTTCTATCTACATGATAATTTCTGATAAAACGGTTTTGGTGGTACAATAAAAGCAGGAATATAAAGTAGGTATTACAAAAAATATTAATACCTCGACAATAAATATTTTTTAAGAGATGATTTAAAGGAAGGGAGCGAAGTCTTTGATCGGATGGGTGGGGGTAAGTTGTTCCACACCTTCACACCGTGATATTTTATGGAAGTCTGGGTGTCTTAAGTTGTATCTTTGATTATTCCGGAACTGGAAATAATTATTGTCAAGCAAGTGCTTGACAGTTTTGTAAACAAATAGGGAACACCAGTAAGTATTAATATACTCGAATTTTAACATTTTCAAATAGGTCATTGTCCGTACAACTCTCTTTTGTGCAGTAATTAGGGGTCGTGTTTTTGAAGAGCCAGAGGCCCCCCATAGTGTGTGACAGTGTATCAGGTGTTGGTAAACAGATCATAATAGCTTTTTTTCATTGCTGTAAGAGTGAGTGACTGACGAGTGTGATACATGATATCGCACTGTTTATTGACTTTACTGTGAATGGCTTGTATGTGGTTTCTCCAGTTAAGTTTCTCATCATCAATAACCCCAAGGAATTTAGTATTTTGTTCGCATTTGAGGACTGTATTACCAAGGTACAGGGTGTCCAAGCTTTTCCTTCTGTGAAAGATCGTGTAGTGGGTTTTTTCGAGGTTTAAGGTCAGTTTATTACGTATTACCTAGGTCTTGACTTTAGCCAATTCAGTGTTCATAGTTCTCATCAAGGAATGGAGGTCTGAGTTGCTGGCATAGAGATTACTATCGTCTGCAAATAAGATCTATTTTATGAGTGTGTTGGAGTGGACTATATCGTTTATGTACAACAGAAACAGTACTGGACCGAGAATGGAGCCTTGGGGGACGCCATACAAAATTGATGAGGAGTCAGATCGATGATTATTGTAGTAGACATTCTGCTTCTTATTAGTCAGATATGAGGTTAACCAATTGTGGGATGAGGAACGACGTAATGTTCAAGCTTTGAAAGGAGGATGGTATGGTCGACAGTATCGAAGGCTTTATAGAGGTCCAGGGATATACCGACTGTGAACTGTCATCAAAGGAGTTTAAGATGTCATTAGTAAAGGATAGCAGAGCACTCTCAGTTAACCTTCTAGCTCTAAATCCAAACTGGGAGTCTGTAAGGTTGTTATTGACACTGCAGAAGGAATTTAGTCTCCTACATGCTAGCTTCTCCAGTATCTTACTCAAGGCTGGGAGAACTGATATGGGGCGGTAATTCTTGAAGAGACCTTTGTTCCCAGAGTTTTTATATGCTGTGTGAACTTTAGCAGTTTTCAGTTTATCCGAAAAGACACCACTAGTGAAGGAGGAGTTACAAATGTGTAGGAGAACAGGTAGTAATAAGTGGGCCACTTTCTTTAATGATGCTCATTGGTATATTGTCTTCGCCTGCTGCTGCATCTTTGGACATTTTGTTGATGGCCAATAATTTATCTGTGGTGACAGGGGATAAGAACAGCTCATTTTGCTGTCTGTTTTGCAGGTAGGCTCTAAATTCTTCATGGTGATCAGGGATGCTCTCTCCAAGATTTTTGCCAACATTGACGAAAGTCATTGTAAGTGCTTGGCAATGACAGAGGGTTCCGTTACAACTGAATCATTTATCATAAAAACTGAGTGGGCCGGGGGAGGATGGATGTTCCTGTTCTGAATAGAATTTATGATATTCTAGGTTTTCTTACTGTCGCCTGATGCTGACTGAAACTTATGGGTCTTTCTGCAAATTTTGTTTGGAGTTTGTGTTTTTCTTCTATCATTGCCTTGATTTCACTTGTAATATAGGGTTTGGAGATAGATACACTGACTTAGTCTTGGGGGGAAGCATTTATCAAGCAAGGATTGAAGAGGCAAGAGAAGTTGCAGCAGCTCACGTTAGAGTTGTCGGAGGCATAGACAAGATCCCAGTTAGCATTCAGTAAGTTGTTTTCAAAAAGGGCTTGGAGTACAATGCAACACTGTCATAAGTGTTACCCGCCTGAGTATGCCCGCCAATAAAGTGAATGCCTTAGGCTTGCCTTGACCAATGAGGGGGCCTACGAGGCGTGACGTCATGAAGGTGTAGCGTCCCTTGGAGGCCGACCAGTTTGAAAAAGACAGTCTGTTTTTGGAGAGAGTTAAGTGTGGATGTGTGTGGGTTCCATCTCTCCACATGGCGGCTGTAATGTGAGTACCTATTAGCTGTTATTCGCTTCACAAAATTAAAAGGAACAAACCGCTAATTTATAACAAGTCGTGGCATTAAGGGAAGTCACAAAGTCACAGATTCACCAGTAAATTGGCAAATATATCTACTTAGGGGGATCACAGATAGATATTGTACTGGTCACGTCACTCGCAAGTCGGTACTCCTGAAATGACCTCCGTGTTTGTCGACGAAAACACGAAGGTCAC